ACCCTAACGTCCCAATATAAAAAACAAACAAACAAAAATTGATAAAAAATAACTGAAAATTAAGTTTGTCATTTTTAGATCAGCTAGTATACAATAACTATCAATTAAAGCTGATCACCCGATCGGCTACATCAAAAAATCTGTTTCAACCTTTTGCGAGCATGAGTATCGTTTTTTGCTTTAAAATTATAGGAAGCATAGACATGAACCGGCAACCGGACCTCCGAAGTTCAGGAGAGAAAAAACGTTCCACATAGGCTAACTTGGCATTTGATTGAACCCGATAATAGCAACCTGCTTATATATGTGTCGATCTCCTTCTACAAATAGATCCGTCAGGCACAGTGGCCTGAAAAAAATCCTGAAAGTCTGAATAGTTTCATCGAAATTTAAAGTTGCTAAACAAATAAAGGCAGTAAAAAGCAATGCAGCTTATCAAGGGCATTCGTATCCCACATGTACGCCGGCTTTCAAAGCCATTTTGGAAACGAATCAAACCCACAATGATAAACATTGACTAATTGAAAAGTCTTATGTGTTAATCCGCAAACGAAACTCCGGCCAAAAAGTAGTCACATCACTCTAATATGTGCCCTCTCACTCTCCGGTGCAAGTGAGCCTAACAAACTAGTGCTTGACTTCTTGCGCAGGTACTTTAACCAAACAATATCTCCGTATACCTTGTATTCTCAAAAGACGATAGGACCGAAACGGAGGATTAAACGGGAATACTCTTGATTTATCATGCTCTGCAAAATTTATTCGAAATCTATGTTTAAGATTAACGTTTTAGGGTGACTCAAATTTAAAGCGTCATTGTTTAATTTGGAAAGATATATTTGCTAATCATAAAGTATTTTTATTAGAAAGTATACTTTTTGGGAACATTTTTAGCAATATCAAGTTATTTTGGGCTTGATGAGCACGCTGCAGCTGATTATGGGAAATCATCTTTCAGATATTGATATGTTATAGGTAAGCAGAATAAGCCCAATATATTTTAATTTAAAATATTATATTGTCCCTATTCATAAAGAAGATACGACTGACAGGACCAAACGCAACTCGAAAGTACGGTTCGTGACTGATGGTAATAGTGACAGTATCAACTAGTCGGTAGCCAAAACAAGCCAAACCCAATACCATCGGTAAGGCCCTTTCCCCACACACGGTTGGTAAACATTTGCCAGTTTTTATCGTCTGGGCTTTTCACAATTACCAATCATACTGCGTAGGGCCGCGACCCATAGATAGCCTAGTCATCAACGAACTATTTCATAGACGAGGAGGTTAAGTATGGGTAGAAGAGCGATCTTTAGCGTACTTGAAAGACATGAAAATATGTAGAAGTGCTAGGCAGTTGTCGAAGACGGCGTAGGTTTCATCTTTACGTATGAGAGAAGTTTGGAAGTTAGTCGACCCATATGCGCAAAGGCTGTGATATTTGTTTTCCGTACACTTGAGCAATAAAATTATTGGCCAAAGGCCAACAAACTCAGGCCGCGTATGGGTAACACTTGTTCGTTCTTTGTATATGTAGTCAACCTTCTTTTCGAATTAGCGGCCAGGACAGCTTCGATCCGATGCAATGAAAAAGGTTCTCGTAACTCGTAAAATTAGTTCATGAAACTATAACAGAAGTTTACCTTTTCCAATCTGTATATAGGAATTGATTTTGACAGAAGTACAGAAGAAATGTACCTTGCTATAAGGTAATGTACACTTTATAACTGTAGCTGCATGAAAGGACGCCCGTACCACATAATTGGCTTTGTGGAAAGCGTCTACGGAGAATGTGCATCGCTTGCACTGGCAGCACGAAATGAAGAGACCTAAGAATTTCGTCAGAGCCCAGGGTGCATTGGGTTACATTTTGCGCCCAGTGGACAACACATTACTTGAGGCAAAGGTCGCTACAAAAATAGCTTACGTTCATAAACACATGTTGGGCACAGAAATATTTTAATATTACAGCACAGATCCACGCTATAGGGAAGATAACGGATATATGGGTTCCTTTCCCTATTCGATCTGTCCAGATTGGCCGTATTAAGTCCCTACGTATCAGGTCGTTAGTGTAACACTAAATAGTGGGATATCCTTCCCCTCTTATC